ATTTAAGATAAAATGGTTTAAATGGGACTAAACTATAGTTGAAATGTGGGAGTGAACGTAAAAAATTACGTTTATTTAAAGAACAACTCATAGACACTTGGCGGCCCAGCGAGTAATGTAATCTTGAAACAAGAATATCATTGTTATGGTTTTGATGCCATTGTTAAGCCAATTTATCATCATCAAGTCAGATTGCTATCACTAAACAATAATGTCATCTTAATTCTTATTTGCAAAACAAATACTTCGTATGTAGTATGATCTGCACTAAGTTGGCAAATTGACTTACAGAAAAGATCAGCCTAGAACTTATCCTTATTCAGAAAAGTATAATCTCATCCAGCATAAAAATGTCACCTCAATTCATAGAAGAAATAGAAAGGATCTTCCTGAACTCCCGCCTGCGAATTAACATGCATAACGATAGGTTAGATACCATTAATTAAGCTTGTATTGGAGATTTCTCATATTTTGTATCGTTGTATTCCATTGCCAGGCAGCAGAGATAGTGTTGGGGAGGCTCTTACCTCTAGCAGGGTTTTTATTCAGATGGGTTCTGACTCTGATATCAACCAGACTGGGAAGTCTTCTGCTCTGTGGCTTTGTTTGTTTAAATGGAAGGTGGCCCTTCATTTACAAATTCTCTGAACTGCCCTTGAAGCAAAGGGAAGCCATTCTCCAGAAATGGTCAAGAGATGGCATCTTCATCCCCTTAAGAATCGCATTCATGGTCACCAAGATTGCAGTCTGTTACGTTTTCATTTCTTGGGTAATCATAGTCCCCCTCACCAATCCTACTTTCCTAAGTTTCATATTGTTTGGATCTTGAGGGAACAAAAGCAATTACTGGAATGTTGGGATGAAAGTATAGAAGTACTTGTAATTGCTTCAAATTACTCTAAAAAGCCGTTTTTTAGAATCTGAGGGAGAAAAGCAAAAGCTGTTTTTTACTCTAAAAACTGATTATGGTTCTTATTTTGCTTCTCTTTTAAAAAGAGAAGTAGAATTAGTTTTTCAGAAACTAATTTCTCCCGGCTTTTAGGTGCAGTTTGAAGCACTTAGAAATATTATACACTTTCACTTAAATCCACAAATATCTGTTTCTACTCCGAGGCAAAAGCAGTTTTAACAATCAAATGCAAACATCCCTAAGAAAGAGTTGATATTCTTTATTAAAAAATCACATTTCTATTCATCACTAATCCTACTTTCCTAAGTTTCATATTATAGTTTCCACATCTTTTTTGACAGACTGATGAACATTCTAAGAATCCAGCATGGGAAGCAATAGGTTTCCATCCAGACATCAATGAAGAAGAAGCTCTATCTGAACAAAAACAGAAAGAAAGGCCTTTAGATAAGGGTATAATCGAAACCATCAATGAAAATGACATAACTACCTTCAAAGAATCCCTTATCAAGAAAGGCCTTGACGTCACAGAAGGCCAGAATCCCGAAACCCTGACAATCAAATGCGACGTCGTAATAGTCGGTTCCGGCTGTGGCGGCGGAGTAGCGGCGGGGGTCCTTTCCAACTCAGGCCTGAAAGTCGTCGTGCTCGAGAAAGGTCAATACTTCGTCCCGGAAGACTATTCAGGGATTGAGGAACCTTCGATTGGTGAACTATATGAATCGGGCGGGATGTTAACAACCGTGGACGGGAAAATCCTGATTGTGGCCGGAACAACCGTCGGCGGCGGATCTGCAATAAACTGGGCGGCTGCGATTAAGCCTCCCGCGGAGGTGCTCGAAGAATGGTCTGTGGAACGAAAGATACCACTCTTTGGAACCTCTGAATACCAATCGGCCATGGATGCCGTCTGTAAACGGATGGGCGTTACTGAGGTTTGCTCCAAGGAAGGACTTCAGAACCGGGTCCTGAGAAAAGGGTGCGAAAATCTCGGGCTGGATATCGAGTATGTTCCCAGGAATTCTTCAGAGAAGCATTACTGCGGATCTTGTGGTTATGGCTGCCGAACGGGTGACAAGAAGGGAGTTGACTCGACTTGGCTAGTTGACGCCGTTAACCGTGGTGCCGTTATCTTGACAGGTTGCAGAGCAGACAGGTTCATCCTAGAGGATATGGAAGAAGGTGAAAAGAAGAGAAAAAAGTGTATGGGGGTCATTGCTACCGTTAATGGTCTCACAAAGACACTTGGGTACACTTTTTCTTCCATTTATTTGTTTCTTATTAATATTGTTCGGGAAAAGGGTCATATGCCCTCGAACTTATATAAAAAAGTCAAACAAGCCTTTATATAGGAGGTTCTGTCCAGCCGTCGTAATTTGGATCGGTTTCCGGTGGATTTTTTTGATGAAATTTTTTGAGCATCTTATTCATTAAGTGTAGTTTACTCATATCAAATTTCAGCTAAAACTTCAATCGGGAAGGCGTTCAAATGAATTCGTGAAGATAACCACGCAGTTAAAAGCGCAGTTATCTTCAAGATTTCATTTGAATGTCTTTCCGATTGAATTGTTAGCTGAAACTTGGTATGAGTAAACTAGATTTAATGAATAAGGTGCTCAACAAATTTCATCAAAAAAATCCACCGGAAACTGCTCCAAATGACGAAGACCGGACAGAGTCTCCTATATAAGGGCTCATTTGACCTTTTTATGTAAGTTCGATGGCGTATTTGACCCTTTTCTCTTATTGTTTTCTTATTATTAAATTTATTATAGAGAATATTGCTTTTGTTATTTCATTTTCTTGGACAAAAACAAAGCATAAAATATTACAAAATCCCTTGAAACTTATGAAAATTGTGATTTTTTGGAAAGTATCCTTGGATTGGGATGAGATTGGAACATGTGATCTCCTCTTTAGAAGGTTGATTGATATAACCTATTAGATGAAAAATTAAGTTACCAAAGCGACTCCTAATTGTAAATTCATAATAAATAGGTGATATTAGGGATGGACTAAACCGGGTCAGGCCGGTCCGGAACCGGCCCGACCCGCTACTGTGCGGGCCCAGACCGGACCGAGACCGGTTGGCCGATTCTGGGCTTTTAGCCCGTTTGGGCGGGTCGGGCGGGCCGGGCTCGGGCCCAACTTTTGTTGAACCAGCCCGGGCAGTTCGGGCCGGGCCCGGTTCAATTTTTTTCCAATTTTTTTCTTTTCCTAGGGTAGGGTTGGGTGTTTTGGGGAGGTTTGGGGGGTAGGGAGTGAGGAGGGGGGGGTCGGGGGATAACAAGAAAGGCAAAAAAAAAAAAATTAAACATGGAACCGGGCCCGGCCCGGACCCGATATCAACCCAGGCCGGTTCCGGGTCCAAGTAATTGCAAAAAAAGCCCGCCCGGGCCCGGAACCGGAACCGGACCGGCCCGGGTCCATCACTAGGTAATATCAAAGTTTGAAATTGTTTACGTGATATCTTTTGTGTTAAATTGAAATCCAAATATGTCATAGCTATTAGCCTATTATAGACATTAGGATTTTCAAACTTTAAAGAATTTGTCTTTGTTGATCAAAATATTAAATATCTCAATATCTCAAGTTAACTTTATTGATTCAGAAAGACAATTAATTGCTAATTTGATCAAATCTATATTTTGGATTGCTTATTTGAACGCGTTTTTTATGTTGAAAAGTTTAAAATTTAAAATTTATGAATTTGCACTTGTTATCGTATTTGACATGCAAGAATTTTATGACATTTTACAGGCAAAAAAGCCCAGTCCTTAGAATTGAAGCGGGTACCACAATTTCAGCTTGTGGGTCCCTCTACACGCCACCTCTGCTAATCGCCAGTGGGCTGAGGAACAAGAACATTGGAACCAACCTACACCTCCATCCAGTCCTCATTGCATGGGGATACTTCCCAGAGTCCACATCAGACTTGGAAGGAAGATGTCATGAGGGAGGAATCATCACCTCCATACACAAGGTGGTCTCAGAGGGGGAAGGGGGCCGGAAACGAACACAAGCCATCATCGAAGCCGCCGCGATGGGGCCCTCAATATCCGCAGCCCAGCTTCCGTGGACTTCGGGGGCAGACATGAAGGAGAGGATGAGGAAATACTCACGGACAGTTTTCTTATTCTCGTTGCCCAGAGATGTGGGATCAGGGTCGGTGAAGAAAGTGGGCCGGATAAAATACCGTCTGGCCCAGATAGACAAAGAGAACATAAGAGCAGGCTTGAGACGGGCCTTGCGGATTATGGTTGCAGCGGGGGCAGTTGAGGTCGGGACGTTCCGAAGCGACGGGCAGAAGATTGCATGCAAAGGTGCGGTGGACAAGGACGAGGATTTCGAGAGGTTCTTGGACGGCGTGACGGTGCCCGGTGGTGTCCAGGCCTTTGGAGAGGAAAAATGGGCCTTGTATTCTTCTGCTCATCAGATGGGGAGTTGTAGGATGGGGGCAAATGAGGAAGATGGGGCAGTGGACAGCAATGGTGAGTGCTGGGAAGCCAAGGGCCTTTATGTGTGTGATGGAAGTGTGCTTCCCAGTGCAGTTGGAGTGAATCCAATGGTCACCATCTTGTCAACTGCCTATTGCATCTCTAATAGAATAGCCAAGTCACTCACTGCAGGAGATAAAAAGAATATGTAGATGCATTCATGTTCACAATAATAAAGAGCATCTCTTTTTCCCTATTATTCATATTTTTCACCAATTAATCAAGTATTTAGTGTATGTTGTGATTCTGTAGTATAATTTATACTCGTACTGCACATTTTTATAAATGCTTTTATCAATAAAACGAATGGTTTCTCATCATCATTTCATGATAAACACTTCCATTCGGGTAGACAGGAATGGTTTAAAGTTCAATATGTGTACTACCTGGGACTAAAAATAACACTTCTTATCAGATTCATTGATTTTAAGCATCTTTCTTTACTAAAGTAAATAAAAATAAGATTTAATTACTGGACATTTAAACCAGTATGTTCATACTTTGAAGTTGCCTGAAAAATCTGGATATTGAACCAATTTCAGTCTAGAACTGAGAAAAAATGCAGCCAACTATATATTTTCCCGCCTGGTCTGGTGCAATTCTGGAATTGGAACGGGTTCAATCACTTTTGATCAATAAAGTAACTTTGAAGTTTAATGCCTACTCTTCACTGTTATTATCATTATCACACGATTTAACTAATCAAACAAGCTAAAACTCACTAAAATGTTATTCCTTGATGAGGAACAAAAAGGACAAATGTACATCTTCGTAATTCCTCAGAGTACGGACTCAGCCGAATCAAATGGGCAGGATCATCTTTAAACAAAACAAAAAACTGTGCTTATTTTCATGGTACGGCACACCCAAACTGCCATTTTTCTCAAGTGTTGCCGATGTTTGTGTATGCATTAGACAATTTAATCGACACACCTAACAGAATCAATGAAAACTCAATGAGATTTATTTAGCTGCTTTAACTGCTTTCTCAGCTGCATCGTCGAGATCTTCTGCAGTAATGAGTGTCAGGCCACTTTCCTGCAAACACAACCAGATGTCAAATTCATACTGCAAGTAACATGTTAGAGCATAATAAATCACAGCTGCAAGATCAGTAGTAGTCATTAAATCATCATTAATGACTTAATCGCAATTATCCAGGGGCCAGGTTCCATGAAATTTAGTGCCAATAATTGTATAGCATTAGTTAACACTACAAATTCAGGCAAAATATAGTGGCAACCTTGTTACAAATTAAAAGAAATTCTGAAACCGCCATCGTCATGGTGAGTCTAATTGGAACTTGGAAAATGCTGGGGAGAGAAACTATGAAAGATAGAAAAGGGGGGGAAATTGTTGGACCCTATAAATCAGCTGTGTGTTTTCTTTACATATTAATTTTCCTTTCCGAATATTTTTCAGGCTCCAAACATACTCGATAGCTAATCTAATTGCGCAGAAAGTTTCATGAAAAATCAATTTGTGTCATAGAAGATGTTATACCTTGAGAATTCTCTTGCCTTGGTCCACATTAGTTCCTTCGAGACGAACAACCACTGGCACTTTCAATTGAACCTAGTAAAGCATGATCAGAAGAATCAACATTTTATAGCATGTAAACCAATGAGCAAAATGACCAAAATCCAGAAGCATTATCAAGAAACAGAATAGTACAGACTATAATACCATATATGCTACGATGAAGAATAAAAGCCTAATAAGTAATGATGACATTTGTCTAACCTGTTTTGCAGCATTCACAATTCCACTGGCTATTACATCACATTTCATAATTCCTCCAAATATGTTTACCATAATAGCTTTAACCTTGTCATCTGAGGTCAAGATTTTAAAAGCCTCCACAACCTACATCAACCAGATCAGTAAATTTATCTTTTCAAGGCACCCAAATCCTTTGTAGAATATCAGCTATTCAGTTACTTTTACATTTTTGTGTATATATTAATGAATATTTACAAGATTTCAACTTCACCCAATACCAGAAACTATGGACCTCCCATATATTATTTGGTGTTAAAAGAGTACCTGTCCTTCACTGGCGTTCCCACCAACATCAAGAAAATTGGCTGGAGTTCCACCATGTAGTTTAATAATGTCCATGGTAGCCATCGCCAACCCAGCACCATTTACCATGCAACCAATTTCACCATCTAATCCAATGTAATTCAAATCAGCTTTTGCAGCTTCAACCTATAAACAACAAAACAAGAAAACATTACAAAAACTAGCATAGATGTATCACATATGTGTGAGATAAATGTGTATTTAATTAAAGAGTATTTTAATAAACACCAATGCTGTATAGATAATTATATCTTCATTTTAATTTTTACAATTTTCAAAGGAAGATGGAATTTGTTTCATTATTTCCAATTAGCAACAGTGCATCAGGCAAATATTATTTGCTAGGTAGTTAACTCCTTTTAGCCTAGGTTTTGTAACGTAGATTTTCAATTTTACAAGGGACCAAGTAACTCGCCGAGTTGAAAACTTCACCGAGTTGAGAAACTCATCGAGTACTTGGTGAGTAACTCGGAAATAAAACACGAACCGAGTGAGGTAGCTACTCGGAAAAGTCAGTACCCGAGTTGCAAGTACTCGCCAAGTAGATGACCCAGATTATTTGTTGCAAATTTAAAATTTAAATTATTAATTAAATTAATTATATTAATAAAGATGGGTCGAGTCGGTTTCTTTTTATGTTCCAAAATTATTAAATTAATATAATATGTAATAGATTTATTTGTTCAGCAGTTATATTGAATTATCTTCTATTTTACTAAGATCGTCAGTACACACAGCCTCTCTTAGAAGTCTCATAATCCGTCTATTTCGGGTTGCTAACCCAATGGTAGAGCACTCGGCTTTTGAGTGCAAATATGGTATTTTACACATTTAGATGAAGTGAAGGATTCGTCTAGCGAATCGCTAAATGTGGATTAGCAAGTCTCAATAAAATTACAAAATTGCAGGGGATACCTCGCGGGGATCCTCTTGTGATGAATCCCGTAGGGCAAACAATTCTTTCTGACGGTAAGCAGCATTATCATCAAAATTCATTTTTGCATCAGCAGCTACTAACTTTTTATCCGATGTTTCGGCAAGAGGGTTAATCTGATCAAAGAGGCAATAAAAAAATCTAGTTAAAGAACAAGTGAGACGAAGCTTGAGTTGAGTGATAAATGTCGGCTGTGTCGCGCGTGTGTCAGTGTGTGTAAACCAATTGCTAGACTAAACATGTTGAAAACAATTAGAGGGAAAAACCTCCAATAATGTGCAGTCACATTGACAGAAAAGATTGTACAACTTCTTCACTTGTTCCATGGAATCCTTTCTGTCAGCAACCTTAGGAGCCAAACCATCAACAACCTTTGCTGCATCATCATCCGTAATGCCTTTAAAAATATCAATAGGTACCTAATACAGGAAACCATAAAATGTAAAAATAAAATCAGTAACTACTGATTTACAACAGGAGTAGAATAAATAGAAGGTAATGAGTTTAAAAGTGACCTTTATAATCATATCAGGGAACTTTTCTGCCAAGTCTTCAATACTTGTTCCTCCCTTCCTGCAGGCAATAATAAGCTGCAAGGGGAATAAAAGGCAATGAAGGTGTAACCATCTTTAGATTATCATTGACGCCAGCTAACTTGTGTGAAACGTCCTTTAAAAATAAACAATATGCCAATGGAGTTTGTTTCGTTACTTACTGGACCTGCTGTTGCACGGTCAAGAATAATAGAAAAGTACATCTCATTCACCAATGACAGCTTTTCACATAAATAAACCTGCAATAGATACAAATATTGCTTCTTGAATATCGCAATGAAAAAAATGTCTGCACCCCCATTTCCAATCCATATTGCATATTATTTCCCTACCTTATGGTTGATGAAAGAGAAAAATAAGAAGATAAGCAGAGAACCGAATAGCCCGCTAGTATCGTATATATGATACTCTCTCAGTCCCTCCATTATAATTACTTTCTCTGTATTTTTTTTTTGGCATGTTTTTATTATTCACTCCACTTTCCCGATTGGTAACGTTTGCCATACTTAGGTTATGGTAGAAGTCCTACTAATGGTGACCTGCTAGAATTGGGAGAAGCCGTAGGGATTATTGTGGGTCAATCAATTGTACCCTTTATATAAATAACCATAGTGTTTCATCTTCTCTTTTTAGTTTTTCTACTTCTTTATCCTTGCTCTCCTACTATTCGCTGCACCTAATATTGCTATCTTAATCTCCCAGAAAACCCTATAGGAGCAGCTAATAAAAGACAGAGGGACTAGGGAGTACTAAATTGAGATGAATGCTCGTTCATGGAGGGAGGGGACCCGCAAAAAGATAAGTTTGTGGTCATTATTTCATTATGTTACGAACCTTAAAAATTTATGAACGTGTAAAAGATTTAATGAAACTGAAGCTGAAAAAAAAATGATGAAAGTGTCAAACCTTGCTGACAATTTTCCCCTGGGGTCCAGTTTGTTTAGTAACAAGTATCTGCCCAAGCATTTTTTCTGATGAAAAATAATGCAATATTTATGAGATAGAGTAAGATCTTAATGCCTCACGCTCTCTGCCAGAGCAATATATTCAGAATGAAAACCAAGCAGTATGAAACAAATATTGAACCTTAAAGGATAAGGAAAAGCACGGTCATTGAATTCAGAAAGACTGTCAAACACTATGAAACATATATTGGGTCTTTAGACATTATTTAAGTCAGTTAGGGTGCCATTAAACACAAAGCTTGTTATGTATTGGGATTCTTTGCGACACGGGAAAGAAATATAAATGAAAAATGGATAGGGACTATGTATATTTGAAGAGTTTTCCTTCTCCTTGGTTTCTTCTTAATTTTTCTTTGACATTTTATTAGCATAGCAAGCGCCCTTTTATAAGAGGTATTACATGCATATGAATGCAGAAAACAAGGAAAGAGAAATCCTAGAAAATCACTTCCTAAAATAGATTAAATAATGAAGATATTAAAATCAAATCATAATAAAATCAAACAATCAAATCATTCAGCTATTACTCCTCATTATTCTACTTGATTGATCTTTTTATCTTTCCATAATATTATATTGTACCATGCATCAAAGCTACAGCCAAACAGCTACTCGGAGTCTAAAAAAGTAAAAAAACAAGCCCCATGTATGCAGACTAGGTCCACTATTAGCACTCTAGTTGATAACAAGAAAAAAAGGGTAAACAACTAAACACCCCATGTACCCACCCACGCGGCCCAAAGGGAAAAACGAGAAAAGAATACCCACACATACAGAATAGATAGTCATCATCACCTGCTATATTTTCAGCTTCATTAGCCTTCACAATATGAACTCCACCTTGAAATCCATTTTTAAATGTTCCCAAGCCCCTTCCACCGGCAAGGACTTGAGACTTCACAACAATCTACAACACTCGATATAAGATAAAGCCCAGTCTTTTATCTCACATTAAATAAATATAGCACTTGGTAAATATATCAAAGAAACAAGGCTAATGAAGTTTAGGACTGAGTTTGTAGCACATCTAAATTGAGAAAGATCTACAAGACTACCGTATCCATGGAACTTAAGATAGATGCAGGTGACATTCAAATAATCTTCAAAATTACCTCATTTTGATTGGGAAATAATTCTTGAATTGCCTTCTTGACTTCTCCTACGGAACCAACGGCCACACCCCGTGGGACATTGATCCCATGTTTTCCCATCAACTCCGCACCCTGTTAACACATAACCCCATATCAAATGCGAATCGAGATATTCCCAATGTTATATGCCTTTCAACGCATTGAGCGTGTACACCCCTGACCCCTAAACCCGCTAAACTAATGCTCCATTAGCATAATTTCCTAACTACCTTTCGATTTGAAAAGTCAAAAATAAAAATACAAATAAAATGAATATGAATTAGCAAAGGAATATACGCATTTAGCATACTATACGAGACAGAGATGGGGGCGAAATTAGATACTTGATATTCATGGATATTGAGACGGCGGAGCTGTTGCTGTTGCCATTTCCCGGCGACGGAAAGCGATCCTCCGGCAAGTTTCCGCAGCAATCCTCTCACCATTTTTCAGATCCTTGGATCAGTAAAGGTGTTCAACGAAGCGCAGGGCTAAATGGCTAATAGCTTGAAGTCTTGAACAGATGCTTGTGTTGGCTTAAGGTTTCTGTTCTTATAGTTTCTTTTTTATTCATCGGCCTGTTAGTTTCCAACATTAGGCCTCGATCTCTTTGATCTTTGCAAACCTTGAGCCCGCTTGGGGGTCGTTTTAAAATCTGCTTTAGATTAAAACAACTAGATTTTTCACCCGTGCGTTGCGCAGGATGAAGTTAATAAATGTTGATTAACTTTATATATTTATAATAGGCTCCGTACTTCAAATCTTTGATGATAGTATAAAATAATAAAAAATACTACTTTCATCTCATTAACATTTAGACATGAATAGGTGACCCGTTTATTGAGAAAAATGAGATTATGTGGTTGATATTGAATTTATAAAGTAAGACTAAAGTAAAAATGATTTGGAATCACAAAAACTTTACCAAATTTGATATGTGACAATATTAGTGGGATGGACCAATTCAAAAAGAAAATATGAGACAATTTTAGCGGGACAGGGGAAATTAAATATAAAATATTGTTTCAAGAAAAAGTACACTAAAGCATTGTTTGCAACTGCTTTTGAAAAGCACTTTTGGGCTTTTTTGTCAACGGAAATCAAAATAGCCACTTCACCGTTTCTGCGTCGAATGAGCTCAAAGCAGCTTTTTTCAAGGTCTTGGTAATTTGGTAATTCCTGGTAATTAGGGGCGCATTGATATTGTTAATATGTGTTTTGTATCCCATTAATGCCCTTCTCTCTTTCCTTTATACGTCACTCCAGGCACAAAAGGTTTAATGAAAGAGGGGCATTTTCGTACATTAATAAAAAAACTACATCAATAATCAATTTTTTACCAAACACTCCAATTTCAACACTTTTTTGTATAATCACTTGTTTCCAAACACTACCAGCTTTTACAATTAATCACTTTTTCAAATTTCATTAAAAAAACACTTTTTTTAAGTAGAAGCAATTGCAAACACTCTCTAATTATACATACATCCTAACACCGTCTACATCTCCGCACCGTCTAAAAACTTATACATGAGCTCCATCAATATGAAAATAAGTTTAAACTACGTCAATTTCGGGGTTCCCTACATTCTAGCAACATCAATAAAATACATTCAACACATTTATTTACACACTAGTTTATGTAATATTGGCCTTCATAATGGAAAACATGTATCTCCAACCAACCAACTTCTATGCATTGCTTATCTGCTACAAAAGGCAAAGGTAAAAGGAAATACTTAGTGAGCATTGGAATGAACAAAAACAAATTCAGATGACTAACATTTGTAAAAGTAAAAGAAAAAAATGTAGGAAAACTCGTATCTTTCATTGTCAAGGATGTACCGTTCTTAATTAGATGAAGACATCCTTTCACTCACAACAACTATAAAGTGCTTAAATGATTTATAACACAAAGGAAACAATAAGTTTAACGAAAATCAGAATAACAATTTAGAAGTTCGAAATGGGAGGGAATAAACAATTTCCAAATAGACAAAGAGGGAGAGTCAAATGTTTTACTGGTATTCACAAATGGAGCGATAAAAATTTGAACTGCCGCAGGTTAGAAATCAAGTATTACAAATCCGAAATGATATACTTTTTAAAATTTAATTATGTTGCCTCACTTACTTGGGTTATAACATTATGTTAGTTCATGATTTTAATGTCAAGTAGAGAAGTGCAGGGACCCATTTCTCATGCTCCTCTAAAGCAATACGTGAGATCCTCTAGGAGTCCTTGGCTGATATGAAGGTTCAAAAAATGAAGAACAAATGATATGCTATATGCTAATAATTCAAAAGCATTAACTTAAAGGGTTGTTTTAAACTTTAGATGGTTCGGTTTGAAGTCATTTTGTATCATATTTAAGTTGATGCAAAATCTGTTAAGATGACTACTCTCTTATTGAGATGTTGCCATTCTCACAATATTCATATTCTCATAGAAAGTGATCTGAATCCCTGAATGGTGCATAAAATCTCGAACAAACTAAGTATTTGGTGTTTCTCTAATTGAACTTCTATACATGTAAAGAAGAACAATAAACCCGCCATTAAAAAATTACAACCCCAGACCCTTACTCTATTGCTCTAAAAGTAAAGGTAAAAATCTGGTTTATAAAGTACTGAGTATATAATACTAAGGATTTACATAAAAGAAATATTAACACCAAACACCTCTATTAACCATATCAACCTATTTCCAGTGAAGGGATCAAAATCAGTCTAGACAACCCTATACTTTAATCAAGCTATCACAAGCAACTACAGTTCTTCTGAAGAGGTAAATGAGTAAACTATAATGTTTTTGAACAGCCTCTGCAGTGTTGATGTATAAAGAATCAGAAAATAGAAACTATATAGTTTGAACATAAAACATAAAGCCTTTAGCCTAGAACTTAAGAAGAATAAAAAAATCAGTCCTCATAAAGAAGCAAGGGCATAATTATAAGAGCCTAGATATTAAACATAGAATGGTCAAATACCTTTTGGCCGCGAGATGCTTGGAAAATTTCCAGAGGTAAATACATTGGTCTAGGTATACAGGGGATAGTAGATTGGTTTAAGGACAGAAGCATGTGAATCCTTCAAATCAGCGGCGAGGCTAGATCTAGAGTGAAAAGTCGATTGGTTTAGAGAAAGAAGCCCCTGAATCTCGTCGCTCCGTGACGGGTAAAGAGGGATTGCGGAGGTATGGGTGAGATTGCAGTCGTGCTTTTGGACCTCGGAGACGGCAACCTTTGAATCAATAGCGAGAGAGGGAGGCAACATACTTTCACCCGGAGCAGCACCTTCCCTTTCATCCCTAGAACAATGATTTCGGCTAGATTATTTTTCAACATTTGCTGATTCTGACTTGAGAAGAAGAGTATATTCATTGATGTAAAGATGATATGAGGAGATTTGAGGAGGTTTCGGCTGGGTCGGTGAATTATTCAAGGGGATTTGAGAAGTAAACGAATAGAAATGAGGTGGAAGGTGGAAGCCGTATGATTGAGTTTACTAATAAAATCGGACGGACGATGGAAGAGTTATAGTGAGCGGGAACTTCTTTTCAAGAATTGTAGTGCTATTAAGGAGAGGATTTGCTGATTCTGACTTGAGAAGAAGAGTATATCCATTGATGTAAAGATGATATGAGGAGATTTGAGGAGGTTTCGGCTTGGTCGGTGAATTATTCAAGGGGATTTGAGAAGTAAACGAATAGAAATGAGGTGGAAGGTGGAAGTCGTATGATTGAATTTACTAATAAAATCGGACGGACGATGGAAGAGTTGTAGTGAGCGAGAACTTCTTTTCAAGAATTGTAGTGCTATTAAGGAGAGGATTTGCTGATTCTGACTTGAGAAGAAGAGTATATCCATTGATGTAAAGATGATATGAGGAGATTTGAGGAGGTTTCGGCTGGGTCGGTGAATTATTCAAGGTGATTTGAGAAGTAAACGAATAGAAATGAGGTGGAAGGTGGAAGCCGTATGATTGAGTTTACTAATAAAATCAGACGGACGATGGAAGAGTTGTAGTGAGTGGGAACTTCTTTTCAAGAATTGTAGTGCTATTAAGGAGAGGATTTGCAAACTTATAAAAACCATTTATATTTAATATTGGGGAAATAGTAAAACCATGAGAGTATGACACACTTATTAAGAAAAGGTGAATTCATTTGATTGATGTTAAATTCATAATGTTAGAACATACTACGTATAAAATAAGAATATTTTAGATCACACAAAATTTCCCAAATTTTGATATTAAATAATATTAGTGAGACGAAGCGAAAAAGAAAGATGAAACACTCTTAGCAAGTTGGAAAAAGTAAAAGCATAGACTCTGTATCTTATTAGGTATTTTTAGAAAATATTATTAAAATAAAATTTATTTACAATATGTGACTAAATGCTACTTTGTAGTTTGTAATACGCACTTGATAGAGTAAATCTATAGAAAAATGGGAGCTATAGAGAGAAAGATTGTAATTAATATTTTCAACCTCCTACAACTACCCCCTATGGACTTATTTACAGGGAAAATGTGGGTTTAGGCTCCCAGGACTTGGGCCTGGGAGGCCCGATATAAAATAATGTCTCTAGTGGGCTGAGTAGATGATTTATAAGGTTAAGTATAAAGTCTATTTTGTTGGAGTCTCGTTGGCTGAATGAGGGCTATGCAGATGGTGGGCCTGGCCAATGGAGGTCCAAGGTTCTGCTCCTGGGCTTCTGAGTTGTATTTCGTGATCTGATGTTCTTCGACCGATAGAGGACCATCTGAGTGTCCCAAGTCTCTGTGTCAGTCTTCTGAGTACGTGGATCATGTGGTCCGGGCCCATATACTCTATCAACACTATAGTAAGATGTCACGGCTACTCAAGTGCAAAAATTAAACATTACTATAACAAAGTTACTACTATAATCACTACGCTTACATTGTGGTAAACAATTTATATTTTGATAATAAACATGTAATTGTTTCTATTTTATTTGGTATGGCTTTCATGTATTTGTTATTAGTCGTGATGTCTAAAACCTATATTTAAAAAATTGGATCACAAAGCGGCATTTTCACATTACGAGATCAGATGGGTCAACCCGGAGCTGATGGATCAATTTAGTCAACATAGCAAAATTGATCAACATGTAAACCACTATATAACAACAACAACAACAACATCAACAACAACAATAACACTCCACTAACTTTTTAGTTTTCCACTTTATCTTTGATAGATTATTATCTTAAAGAGAATGGAGAATTGGAGAGAGAAAGTTGTTGTATAGGATGATCATTTAACACCTACAATTAGCTACAATGGGAGTATTTACAAAGGAAATATGGATTGGGCTCTCGGGCTCTGGGCTCCCAAGTCTTGGGTCTGGGAGGTTCGATTATAACATTGTGACGCTAATGGGCTACTTACTTCCGCTAAATACAAAGTAAAGTTATTCATTCAAAGCCATGGCCGAGGTGGCCTGACCGAGGGAGTTTGGTCGAGAGGACCACAGCAAGGGAGCCTGGCCGAGGTGAACATTCTTGATCCATGGATTTAATCTCCATCTTCTGTGTGAGCAGTTTCGTCTGGTCAAGGGGGCCAAGCCGAGAGATACTCCAGTAGCTTGTAATCTTGCTTGTGTATTCATGAACATGTGGGCTGTTATCGGGACCCACTTGTTATGAGATCGGGGGGTTCGAGCCCAAGTACTCTATCAATCCCTTTATCTATCGTTTCACTATTTTACTTTTTGTAAATTCATTTTTCTCTTTTTTATTTTTGAACATTAGAATTGTTAAAGAATCGCTTTGTCTTTTATTTTCTTAAAACTCGCACCGAACCCATATGCATCTTACATCATGGAGCGTATGTGGTAACAATTATAATAATGATGACGATGAGAACAATAACGAAAAAAACAATGCATAGTTATAGATATTATAGTAATAATAATAGTATTCCATTCGTTCCAAAAAAACACTTTGCGGTTTGATTTGGCACATTTATTTTCTTTGTGGAAATGTATGGTTGTGGTTGAGTAAGAAAAAACTAAATAAATGTTAGTCGCACACAATATTTCAAAAAGGAAAATGGGGAAAAAAGTTGGGACATCCCAACCCCAAGGCCCCCTATGCCCCGACCCGACAAGACTTTTGGGAGGTCGTAAGTCACGATGATTCAGTTGACCCAATGGTGGTAGACCTTGTACTCGTGTGCATCAGAGGTCCAGCCCAGCACGCAAGAGCCGTAACCTCCACACGACCGCATCGCGTTTCAATCTTTGGTCAATGTTCCAACTTTCTCATAACTCAACCAACTAAGCTACCCGTGTAGATAAATTTGGGACATCCCAAAATAATAAGTGAGAAATGTTGTGCGAGGAAAGGAGTAATAATACAAAAGAAATAGTCATATTTTTAAAAATCATAGTGTTGTCCATTCAAACATTATTCATAATATTTTTACCATTCTTTCTTACCTATTTCACAAGTAAACATAATTCAAGTAAATGGTAAGTGACCGCACGAGTAGCTCAGTTGGTCGAGTGGTGGGAAAATTAGACCAAGTGACCAAGGTTCGAAACCCGCAGCGGCTGTTGAAATAAGATTGAACCTCTGGTGCATACGTGTATAAAGCCTACTGCCGCTTTGATGACCGAGTCACCGTGATTAACCTCTCCACCATCCTGTCGGGTCTGGGTGGGGGAGCCTTGGGGTTGGGCATTCAACCTTTTGGACCAAGTAAATGGTAAGTGTGCTAAGTAGTGGGAGAATGGTAAAGGGTTAATTATCAAAACAGGACTAAAAGTCACTCACTTTGCACAAATATGACCAAAAATTAAACTATGTTTTCATAGGACTAATTATGTGTGTCTTGGACAAATATACCCTTCTAGCTATTGAAATGTTTTAATTCATAATTAAAAAATAATAAAAATTCGTAAAAAATACTAAAAAACTAATAAAAATATTTCGATAATAATAATTAATTAATTAATTTTTTTCAAAAAATAAAAAAAAACTAATTTTTTTTTAAAAAATAAAAAACTCAAAAAAATAAAATAAAATTCACCACCACCTCTGCCGCCCCTGCACCACCACCTCCAGTCACCGGAAAAAAATGCCAAGTTCATTACGAATACCATATTTATGGCAGAAAATAATGAAAATGTTGGCATTCTCAAAGAGAAATATGCTATGTTTTTGGCATTTTCAAGAAAAAATGACAGGTTTTAGGAAAAATGGCATTTTTTCACCGCCCGGAGATGGTGGTGCAGGGAGGTAGTACAAGCGGTGGGAAAGGCATCCATATTTTTTTTAAATTTTTTTATGGAGTTTTACTATTTTTTATTAATTTTTTAAAAAATAATTTTTTTTAATTTTTTATTTTATAAATATTTTATATATTTTTTAATTATTTTTCTACGAAATTTTGAATTTTTTTTCGAATTTATTATGAATTAAACATTTAATTAACTCATATTTAAAGGAAGGGTAACAATGGAAGGAAAAAATAGGTATTTTTCCAATAGGACTAATTTGGTCCTATTTTGAAAAGAAAACATAGTAAATACGTAGTACTATTTTGAGTTTTTGCCATAGTTTTAGTCCTATTTGGAATAATTTCTAAATGATAAATTTAACTAAGCTATTCGGCCATCAGCAATGCAAGAGGGTGAAAATCCAAATTTGAGGTTTTCACCCAAATTGAGCTCCAACCCAAGCCAAAATCAGTATATCAAGGTCTTATAGTGGGTTGTGGAAACCCTTGGGGTGGGGATATAGACCCCAGATTGACTCCATGGAGAGAGAAAAAATTCCCTCGGTGATGTGAGCGGCAAAGAAAAGAAATGAGTTCCATGTAAGATAAAAATCCCAATTTTTTTAGAAATTGTATAACTTTTTTATTAATGATTCAACTTTTATAAATAATATATCAAAATTTATAACTTTTTACGATCTTTCATATGACACCAATATCTCTCTCTCTCTCACACACACATATATATAAAGTGAAAATAATTTGATGTTTTATGTGATGAAGATTTTAGACTCAAAATTATTCTTTAAGTAGATCCAAATTTGAAAAACAATATCTCATGCATATTTTTTTTTACATCTTTTGGTTATGTTTTTAAAATATAGGTTTGGAATAACAAAAAATTTAAACTCTAAATTTATTTATTTTTACATCGAAATGTTTGACATTTTAAATTATAATTATTGGTAAAAATAAAATTGTCACATAAATGATGTAAAATAAAAAATGTAAGGATTTATGCATTTAATTATAAAAAAGTATGTGCTGAGTGAATATATTGACGATGTTGGGTTGCAGGGAAAAACTGAATTGATTGGGTGAATACGTATAAAGCGGTGGGAGATTAAATTTATTGATGGACTGAGTTGAGGTTAACGTTAGTGTTCAAGAAATAAGTTCATTGATTCTTCAAACTCTCATTCATTAGTACTTCAGTACTTGTTAATACAATCTACCCGTCCTGCCACACTCACCTAATTCTGAATTCAAGTGAAAACAACCAAAAGTGAACCTATGGAGTATCTAAATACACGTCTATTTTACAAATCATTTCCAACGCCATTCAATCCAGCTCATAACTATACATTTTCATTCACGACTTCTGGAAAAGTGCAAATATGGCGTGTTCGTTGTTTGCAAAGCTTCTTCCAACTCTGCGGTGACGGACCGAAACCCCCCCATTAAATTCGATAACTTTAACCAAATTTAACGAGAGAAGAACTGATTCACATTCCGCACCAGGAAATAAACTGAAAGTGATGAGAAAGGCTGTTTGATGTTTCTCCAAGAATCATATTATATACTAGCATTTCTCGGTTGATCAGATAATTCCGCTTTCGAGAAATTCGGAGAGATAAGCGATGGCAATGGTTCTGACGTGCTTGTGGTCCTCAATCGCTGCTTCCTTTACGCTAGCAGCAGTGAAAGGTAAGGAGTCTTCTTCCTTTTTTTAGTTGCATCTCCTTTTTCTTTTAATTTTTTAAGTAAAACTTTATCTCACTTTAAATTTCACAGATCATGGACCGTTGGTCGGAATTAATTTATTCTGCCGTTCGCCTTATTACCGCGTTAGGGTTTTGTGATTGCGGCTCTTGTCAATTAGTTGGATTTTCTTTTTTATGAACTTTTTAGAATGTGGGTGTTTTTGTTCATCTGAATTGGGGGTTTAGATCATACCAATTTAGGCATTGATTGGGATAACCCCTATAGTTCATCTGAATTGGGGGTTTAGATCACATTAATTTAGGTATTTCAATCATTTCCTGACAACGTGGAAGGGGGAAGGGGGATGCCTTTACACAGCGTTTAAGTGTAGGTTCTGAATGTTTGCCTAAAGGGTGAAGAATTAAACTCTTCCTGTGGTTATCTCATCTCTGATCTGGATGATGAATTACCCATACTGATATCAAACTTCTTTTTGCCATTTATATATATGTGTGAATATTGAGAAGTAAGTGTTGCTTTTGGTATTGCTGGCTATTAAGGAGTTGCGAGAAATGCCATACAGTCTGAGGAATAAGAATTTGATTGGAGAGCCAAGGAGGGGTTCGGCTTATGCAAGTTTGCGGAGGAAGATAATGAAGTGCCTCTGTTCAAGGGAGCAGTTAGGGGCAGATGAAATGGTCCCTTCTTCTGAATCACTTGCGACAAAGGATTATTATTCAGCAAGTCTTCAGTCATCTTTAGCTGGAGAAGTTGATCAGAAGCCGGATACTGGCAACATTGAAGAAGCTGAGTCTTCTTTGCGCGAGAGTGGTTCTTTAAACTATGAGGTCTGTTTCCTCTTGGAGGGATGGGGTCTTTGATTACCTTCATTTGTATACCCTTTTAAAAACTCAATTTTTTGAATGTTTTACAGGAAGCAAGGGCATTGCTTGGAAGATTTGAATATCAGAAGGGAAATATAGAAGCTGCTCTACAAGTGTTTGAAGGGATAGATATTTCTGCAATAACCCCTAAGATGAAAATCACACTTTCCCAAAGAGCAGAACCTCATAACAAACGGTCCCATAATTTTGCTGCCCCACCAATGTCCATACATGCTGCTAGTTTGCTTCTTGAGGCTGTTTTTCTGAAAGCAAAATCTTTACAGTCTCTCGGGAGGTATAAAGGTATATCCATTCTGCAATTCTGCTCTTGTAGTGTCTGTTCAGGACTAGGAAAATGTCAGCGACAAAAATAGGGAGTAAAATTGAAAGGAAAGAAGATATGAAGGGAGAAAAGAAATCATTTTGAACACGATAAGTCAAACTTAGATTTTGTTGAAACAATTTTATTTCGATATATATATATTTCTCTATGGTATTTCGATTCATGTCATGTGATGTGACTAAGTGATCTTGTTGGCATCACATGCCTACCACAACATCCTGCTTCTTTATACCGGCCTGGGACAGACATGATATCAAAAATGATCTCATGGATCAATTCATGTTAGCCTACACCAAAATCTTTTTGGAATAAGGCTTGGATGTTGTTGTTTTATACTACCTCCGTCCCGAAAAGAAAATCTCACTTTCCTTTTATTGATGTCCCAAAAAGAAGTTCCCATTTCTATAAAAGGAATGTCAAAACAAAACTTTTAACTCAAAAGTCACAATTACCCTTACTTTTTACCCACATTTTGCTTGATTTGACATAAAGTAAGGGCATACTTGGAAAGTCAAAACAAAACTCTACCTTACATAAATATGTGTGTAGGTCAAACCGGGAACTTCATTCCAGGACGGAGGGATTATATCTATGATATAATGACTAAGAAATCTAAAATATGTAAATCTTTGAAATTTGTAATGAAATTTGCAATCTTCGAGGTTGCGTATTGTCTAGTTAAGGCGGCTTTTTGAGATTGTATATTGCACCTCATTGTATTCGACTTGAAAGTTTTAAAGAAAACAAAAGGCTGTCAGCCTTTTCCGCACCAGGCGACCAAGCACGCGACTTATTTCGCTTCATGCGCTTAAGTTGCGCCTAACCCATCTACGCGTGCCCCCCCTTCTCCCAAGCGTTGGAGTCCCTGCTCGTTGCGCCTGGTGCGCTTAAGCGACAAGGCGCGCGCTTTTGACTACCTTGGGCGTAAGCATACATACATACATACATATATATATATATATATATATATATATATATATATATATATATATATATATATATATATATAGGGAAGAGTTCAAATAAAAAGTGGTCTTCCCGTGCAAGGTGCGAAATTTGCACTTTTTCATGTTTCGCTTGCACGTTTTCTTGTTTTCGTTGCACTTTTTTCGCGGTAGTGAAAAACATTGATTTATTTACAAAACTGCCACCGTCATTTTGTCCGAACTTCGCCAAAATCGCAATGACGAAAAAGTGCAACGAAAACACGACAAAGTGCAAGCGAAACATAGAAAAGTGCAAATTTCGCACTTTGCACGGGAAGACCACTTTTTATTTGAACTCTTCCCTATATATAGGGGAGGGTTCAAATACAAAGAGGGCTTCACATACAAAGTGAGAATTAATCTTGTGCATTCATTTTTTGATCTGATGGCTCAAAATGAACAAGAAATGCACTAGATTTGATAAAAAAACGCGGTGACAATTTCGTAAATAAACCGAAGTTTTTTGCCACCGCGAAAAAGTGCAACAGAAACATGCATTAGTGCAACGCGGTGAGAGAAAAGTGCAACCGTTCGCACTTTGCACGGGAACACCTCTTTTTATTTGAACTCTTCCCTATATATAATACAACAACAACAACAACATCCAAGCCTTAGTCCCAAAAGATATTGGGGTCGGCTAACATGAATCGATACATGATATCACCACCAAAAGGAAAAGAAAGAAAATAAAGATAAAAAAGATAAGCTATTATAAAAAGTTAATATAAAAAGAGATGAATATACATAAATATATAAAATATTCATTAATAGTCAACAAATGGCATACAGAAGCAAATAATAATGAGATCATCAACCTAGCAAAACAATACATTCAAACAACTAATAGCAAATCAGCAAATGTTTCTGTACCATTCATCATACAAATTTCCTAAGATATAAAAATAAAAGTGTATTAGATTGATGAATGCAAAATAGGATCATAGTTTCTGTACCTTCACATCCGATTCTCCGTCCTTGTCAAACAAGTGCACTTTGGAGATTGAAGAAGCCGTGATTTTAAGGGAAGAAGATAGTCGCCATTCAAGGAGTCGTGACTTTATATGATATTAAGTCATAGTTTGCATATTGCAAGGAATCACAGGACAAGTTTTATATCAAAAGTGAGCCTTTCGTTTAAGAGATCCCAAATACTAGACTTAACATTGTTCAAATATTGCATACGCCTCAGGTCTAAATGGCGTATAATTACCCATCGCGGGAAATAAGCTATGCCTTCTATTGTACATGACCAAAATATAGCTAAGGTGTGCCTCATGGCGCGACCACTTGCACACAGACAAACAATGGAATTTGGTTGTTTCTTGTTTTAAAATTAAGTTCTTTAACATGTTTTATCTCTTTCCTCACAATTTTCGCAAATGTAACCTTAGTGTTCCTACGTTATTGATTCTTTGTTGTGGGGGGTAATAATAATCTGTAAACATTTTTGCGCTTCTTTAAACTCACTTTTTAATCTTGGACGACACACTCAGCCCCCACCCCACTCTCCCCCACACCCATAAATTGTACACATTGGTTGCTACTTCTTGTAGTGCAATAGTAAGATCTTATTCTTCTATGATATTACATGTATCGTAGTGACACTTCAATACAACTATGGAAATTTCGAAAATTTAGGGCTCATTCAGATCCCGCCAGCCTGGAAATTGCTAGTGAAAGGGGAAAAGGTGCAAAGAGATTAATTTTCTTATAGTTGGTTTTACTTTGGAAAATGTAAAGGAACATGAAATATGGTTAATATTTTTTTTCCTTTTTACAAATATTTATATTTCTTGATGTTTTAGTATAATAAGAATGAATAAATACAATGACTTTGAACTAATGTCTAAAATAAGTACTTCCTCTGTTCTTTTTTAATTGCAACATCCCCATTTTCACCCTTGCCAATGCACAACTCTGACCATCATTATATTTAATTCTCTATAAGTAAAAGAATTAAAAAAAATAGATTATGAAAATTTGTAATGAGATGAATTCAACAATAATTTTCAAAAAAATAATTCTCATACATTAATAAATAAAATGTAGTCATAGTTGCGCATGTGAATAGTGTAAATTATCCATGTTGCAACTAAAAAGAAACGGGGGATAGTATATTCAACTTGAGCTTATTCTCTAATATCTTCGAATCACATTGCAGAAGCTGCTCAATCATGCACAGTCATTCTGGACATTGTTGATTCTTCACTGCCAACCGGCTTGCCTGAGAATTTCGGCGTCGACTGTAAATTTCAGGAGACTCTGAACAAGGCTGCTGAGCTGCTTCCTGAACTATGGAAACTTTCCAGTTCTCCCTCTGAAACGATCATCTCATACCGGCGAGCCCTTTCTCACCAGTGGAATCTTGATGCTTCAACTATTGCAAGGATTCAAAAAGAGTTTGCTGTTTTCCTTCTGTACAGTGGGGGCGAATCAAATCCCCCTAATCTCCGTTCCCAAATGGACAGTTCCTTTGTACCTGGAAACAACATTGAAGAAGCTATTCTTCTATTGGTCATCCTGTTAAGAAAAGTATCTATTAAAAGAATTGAGTGGGACCCTGAAATCATGGATCATCTGACATATGCATTGGCCATTTCTGGGGGACTGACATCTTTAGCCAACCAGGTGGAGGAGTTGCCTCCACACACAATAGACCAGAGAGAAATGTATTACATACTTTCTCTCTGCTATCATGGAGAAGATGGTGAAGAAGACGTGACTGCTTTGAATTTGCTGCAGAAGTTGATTAGAAGAAGTACAGAGAACCGCAAGTCTGTGTTACCCTTGCTCTTGGCTTCAAAAATATGTAGTTCGAGTGCACAGTATGCAGAAGAGGGTGTAGAGCTTGCTCAGAAAGCAATTACAATCTTAAAAGAGAACAAATGTGATGAGTTGCTTGGAGTGGGCAATTTTGTATTAGGGCTTTCACTCTCAGCTCATTCTAAGTCTTTTTCTCCAGATTCTGAGAGGGCCCATCGGATAAAGAATGAGGCACTCCAATCACTTGAGACTGCTGGGAGGATGACAAGAATGGAAAATTCGAATATCATTTACAATCTCTGTTTAGAAAATGCTGAGCAGAGAAAGTTGGATGCCGCACTTTATTATGCCAAACGCTTCCTTAAGTTGGAAGGTGGGTCTAGTGTAAAAGGATGGATGCTTTTGGCTCAGATATTATCATCTCAAAAACGGTTTTTGGATGCCGAAAGTGTAATTAATGCAGCTCTTGATCAGACTGGGAAGTGGGATCAGGGGGGGCTGTTAAGATTTAAAGCTAAACTCCAGATTGTTCAGGATCAGGTGGGAAATGCTGTGGAAACATATACACAGCTGCTTGCTGTTCTTCAGGTTCAGTCCAAAAGCTTTGAGGCAATGCGAAATCCCAAGGTATTTTATTTAGAAGGGTGAAATGATTAATGCAAATATGGAACTTTCTTAAGAATAACACGGATTAGAAAAGTGAAACTTTCGGCCTTGTTTATCATATTCCTTGACACTTTCTTTATTAATTTACAATTATTTCAAATGTTTTTAAAGATAAAATTCAGCTCATCAATCTTTTCACCCAAAATTTCAGCCAATTTTTACTCTTTAACAAATGGCTTCTTGATTTTGGTGAAAGAACTCAAAGAAGACAAGAAGTAATGACACTTCATGCTTGTGCTAACATCATGGAACAGGATGGTCAGAACCAGTGCCGAGCTTTGCAGATGGAGACCTGGCTTGATCTGGCTTCTATGTACATTAAGCTGTCTCAATGGCAGGATGCAGAGATCTGTCTTTCTAAGGCAAAAAATATTAGTCAGTACTCAGCTTCTAGGTTGCATACTGTTGGTACGTAACTTTAATTCTAATAAATTTTAGTTTTTTCCTATCAGAATAAGGTTTAAAAGCATATTTGATTGTTAAACTTTTTCCCTCGTATCATTTTGGTCATTGAACTAATAACCCTAAACATATGATACCCAAATTTTATATTTCACACCATAGCGTTCCTTGCGTTAAATTTTCCTTCTGTTTTACCATGAGATGCCACATTACATGCTTATCAGCCGCATGACATACCACATGGTATTTTTATACTACTAAACTAAATTAAATTAGTTCATAAAAAGTCTACACTCTGGTAATTTCTGTAGCACATGCATCACTTTCATGCACACACATATATCTAGTATCTATTTTTACAATAGTAATAAATATTTAATAAAATATGAGTATTGTTTTTCGGGGGAAATAGGGTGCATTAACTAGTAAGAAAAAGAAAACTAAATAGAAATTGACTAACATGTAAAAAAATATTATTATACCATTAACACTAGCATTCAGTTTTACTTTCATATAAAAATAAACCTAAACTATTCATTAAAAGGTTTGTGTACATGTTTTTTTTCATTTATAAGTTGGTTTAAATGATTTGTAGTAAATAAAATACCATGAGATGTCACATGGAGAATACCATAAATGATCTATAAAGTTTGGGAGTAGAATGTGGGAATTCGTTGTTTGAGGACCCAAGTGATACGAGGGATAAAGTTTGAGACAACAAATGTGATTTTATCCTAATTTTAATTCTTAGACTTGGTTAAACATGCTTATGTCTTCTTTATGATTGGTGATGATGATTTGTACTTCATGGGCAACACTCAGGTTTACTTCATGAAGCAAAGGGGCAATATAAAGAAGCTCTAAGAGAGTATAACAATGCCTTGGCTGTTGATCCAACTCATGTCCCAAGTCTAGTCTCTACTGCTTTGGTCCTCAGGCGGATGGGTGACCAATCTCCGTTACTTGTTAGAAGCTTTCTGATGGAAGCTCTGCGGCTTGACAGAATGAATGCTTCGGTGTGGTATAATTTGGGCCTACTCTACAAAGAAAGTGGTGTTGGCTCGGCATTAGAAGCTGCCGAATGTTTTGAAGCTGCTTCTGTACTTGAAGAGACTGCGCCTGTAGAATCCCTTTTGATGATGAATCACCATCAATCTTGTTGTATATGAATATATGATTTATTTCTTCTGATGTATAATGGTGTTGGCTCGGCATTAAAAACTGCAGAATGTTTTGAAGCTGCTTCTGTACTTGAAGAGACTGCGCCTATTGAATTCCTTCTGATGATGAATCACCATCAATCTTGTTGTATATGAATATATGATTCATTTCTTCTGATGTATAATGTAGCCATGTAGGTTTCTTGCTTGTGATTTTTTACTGCTTCGGCATTATTGTTATCATTATTTTTATTATGAGTACGTATAATTATAATTATTGTTGGTGTCGGTGTGGAGCATCAATCAATTGATTAAGGAACATTTGTTGAGAATGAATTTAAGGTGAAAAGCAATTTTTTTGGGATCAGACGGTCTCGACTAGGAACCAGGACCAAACCGACCTGGATCCATCCCCAGTTGGTATAACAGCCGGTTTGGTTTTTATAGTACTGGTGTATCCATTTGGTTACCATGTTTTTTGACTTATCAATCATCTTTTTCATCAAACATGTAACTTTTTATTTGTCATGTTGAACTGTATAATAATAAAAAAAAGTAAGATTGAAATTACTTTTCTAACTGTATTCGCTGAAGTTATTGTAGATGATTATTTTAACTATTTTTCATACAATTTTTTCTTTGTTTTATCAATATAAAATACTTTTAATTTTTTTTCCATAAATCAACAGAATCAGTCGATTCAACCTATTTCAGTGTTACCGAACGGACTCTTAGTCCTCTAATTCTCAAAGTTGGGAACTCGAATGGATAGTTCTGGTCCAATTCTAGTTTCTACTCGACTTCACAACCTTGAGAATTTGTTACCCGGACCAGAAGTTGATGATCGAGTGCTAGCTTGGAAAAACAGGAACCCGACAAGAGAACTAGAAGTGGCTGATGTGCTAATTTGGGTAAACATCAACCGGTTTGGTTTGTGGTTACAAACTTGTCAACCCCGAACTAGGCATGGACTCGAGCCGGTTGACCCGAGCCGGTTGACCCGGGCCGGTTACGGGCCGGTTGACCCGGCCCGAGTCCATCCCTACCCTGAACAGTGTCCATGATGTGTGCAGTGTGTAATGCCCCCAACATCATAATCCAAACTGATACCCAATTCTCCGACTCCTATGTTGTTTGCATGATTGCCCATACATGGGCATCACACTAGGCAATGGCTGATGACCCAATGTGGCCATTTTCATGAAAATGATCATCCAGCAAATGGGGGAAAACGGGACTGATATGCCTCTAGACTTTGTAATGACCCCACATCATCGGGAGGTTTACAATGTTGTTGCATGCATGTTTGGGTTGATTTTACAAAACAGAACCAAGTAGTAGCATACATTATCTTTTCATGATGAAAAATATTAGCTGGAAAGGGTTTCATCCATGAGAACAAGAATACATTTTCCCTAAACTAAACAATTTTGCTTTTTACTGTGGTGCATTCTCACGGCGCCTAACATAACGAGTCCGGTCATTGTATCTGGGTCTATCTTGTGCTCTCTGTGCGACGGGTTCCACTCTCTTCTGTCTTTCAGGTGACCTCTGAACTATTTCTCCATTCACAAAGAGCTCAGCTACAAAAATAAACCATGTAAAAACTAACTCAATGCGAACAACAAAGGCTCTTCACCCTTGTTCAGAAACTATAATTAAGAACTAAACATGCAATGCAAAAGCAATATATGTTCACTCACTAGTCACCATGAAATCAAGGTTCTAAGGTGGAAAGTGGGATAAAGATATGATTTACGGGGTTCAGCAATCATTTCAAAAACGAAATCTGATAAATGCAGTTAAGCAACTAACACTAGTAAGCACAGAGACAGGGGACTAAGTGCCCATGTGGTTAGAGTTATATAGCCTCTATGGCTGAATGTGCTGATTTTTCTCGAAAGGAAAAGCATTTGGTAAAAAGAATTTGAGGCAGACAGTTCAAAAAGGAACTTATTCTGCTGATTGGCAGAATAAAGCAGGAACGACAATAAGATGGGCTCCAATTAAGGTTTGCAAGTTGCAACTAGTCTTAAAAAACCATCACATCATCACAGCCTAATCCCAACTATATTGGGGTGAACAGATTGAAATTTGTAGTGTCAATCAACTATCCAAAATAAGTTGACATCATAAACTTAGTGCCAATTGGAAAACATGAAGAATGAATAGAATTAAAAGGTTCTAATTTCAGATCTTCCATTTGGGATTAGAACAAGTATATATCCTAGTTTTTCAATTGTTTTGTTATCCATCCATTGAATGCTTAGACCTAGGCATACAACATGCAAATCAACGAGCTTAAAATGGCGTGAATGGTGTGGCAAAGTTGCGTTATTTATTTGTCTTTGATTAAAAAAATGAGCATACAAACACGCGTGCAAAAAAAAGAATAGCTTCAACAAATATACAGCAGTTTTCCAAATTACTAAGAAAAACATAAACATGCATCACTGTATCAGTCAGGCAAAGCGTATACCTCCATAGTCCTTGTTTTCAGGGTCAACATATGAATCTGGAAGAACAAAGAGAACTCCAGGCAATCCTGCATATACTCCACAAAACAATGTGTTTAAATTACGCGTCCTCCATTCAAAAAGAAGTACGGAGTACTAGATAATTGGAATCCAAACACTACCTTCAAGCTTATTTGATGTCTCCTCATCAATCTCACAACCAAATCCGAAGTACCTCTCGCAGGAAACATTGTATATCTTCTTCTTAGCTTCCTCTTCACTGACATACATAGAACTTATAACTACATTTCAAACTAGAAAATGAAGACAACAACAATTGAATGTTTAACTACTACTCGTTCAAGCCCAATACCTTCCCACAACTTTGGCTAAGGTTTCAATGTAACAATCAATCATTTGCTTCTTGGTAGCTTCATCTCCACCTGGTTTGTCCATGACTATGAGCCAGTGATTGTAATCGCAACCCGGGAAAAGCGGGGCGATCTCTGTTGGCGGCCGGTTACCGGAACTCGAACCGGATTTCAGAGGCGAGTAGGCAGAACGGTTGGTCGTGCATCTGATGGCACCGAGACGAGCTCGTCCGGGAGGGACAACCCGGAGAGAGCGAGTGGGAGCGAAATCGGATGGGCATGAGAGCTTGTGTGGACCGAACCGTTCACTGGTGGTTGTAGAAGGAGTTGTGCGTCTGTTTGTAATTACTGGTCCGATCGCGGTTGCCGCCGTCGCGCCGGCCATGGCTTCACAGTGGGAGTGATGGTGTGAGTTAGTTTTAAGTAGGGGGGAGATAAGGTATGTTCCAGGTCTTCAAAAGCACGTGGTCTTCATGTTTTTTATTTACTTTACATAAAATAGTTTTTATCTCAAATAAGACTAAAATTAGTGTAAAAATCTAAAATAAAACTCCTTATCTTTTTATTTTAAAATAGGACTATATGAGTCCTATTTGGAAACACTAGATTCTCACTCGTGCGTTGCACGGGAAGAAATTATGTAAAAGTTGTATTTCCATATTTGTGTATATTATTAATTATTAATTCAAGTATCAATGTAGATAAATAGATGAGACGCAATGTACATAATAAATCATAATTAACGAAATCATAGTTAAGACTTATACATTTGTAATTAGCAAGTATTGAAGTAAGTAGAAATAAAGAAATATTACAATAAGATTTGTAAAATCTACAAATTTCAAAAAACTTCTTTTTAAACGAAATTTGCAGTATGGTCGGTTTGTTCGCCATCTTCACCACAAATCAATATTTTCAAACCCTTACGGTTTGTTACTCTTGATACTGCAATGTATAGTTCACCATGCGTAAACACCGACTTTTTTAATAGAAGCCCAACATGTTTCAAAGATTGACCTTGACCCTTATTTATAGTCATGGCATAAGAGGTCATCACGTGAAATTGCCTCCTTTGAAACTTGAACGGTATTCTTGAATCTGAAAGAGTTAAACTTAACTTTGGAATGACAACTTCATGGCCGTCATATTTTCCGCCTAAAACTTTTGCACCTAGGATGTGCTTTCTGAGTCGTGTAACAATCAACCTTGTTCCATTGCAAAGTCCCATAAAAGGGTCAATATTTCTTAAAAGCATGATTGGTGTACCAACTGTTGGGATAATGGGCCAGGTCCAATACTATCGACCCAATATGCCTGGGCTCGGGCACGAACCAGGCCCAGCACACGGTCCGGCTAGATAATATGGTCCTTGGATTGATTGGTTTAACTCCGGGCCCGACCAGCCCATTGGCATTGGATCAGGCTTCTTGTTTTAGTTGTTTAATTGGGCCAAGCCCATTAGTATTTGAAAAACCTCTTGTAAGCGCCTATAAATAGGCCGCCCCTCCTTTTGTATTGGATAAGTCACTTTTACTGTACTGAATTGCTGTCGAATTTTCTACTCAACATATTTTTTACCAACATTGGTGCTTTCATTGAGAGCTGAGTTGTTCTCTCAGTTTTCGGTAGAATCTTTGAGGAGGAAAATGGCAGGATCATCAAGGCAAGAGCGAGTTTCCGTTCACACCGAGCATTCAGAACAACCCAATGGCCATCGTGTGAGAAGCCAGGTGGTGAGACCGATAGGAGATCTCCGGAACCATTTGTCGGGCTCAGGGGACCTGAGGGGTTCGCTAAGCCGTAGTCATGACAGACAATCCATTCGTGATCGGATTGGAGGTCGCCGTCGTCGGGCTCCGTGCACGAACCGACTTGACGCTGGAGTGCGGGCGCTACAGGAGGCCACGCGTGCCATTGGGGCTTTGGCTCAGAATTTCCTGGGGATGATGCCGCAGAGAGCTAATCATGAAACTCCGAGGCACGCCGCCCCTGAAGACATCGAGACTTCCTCTGGGAGATATGAAGGGCGACATACTAGTTTGGACGAATCACGAAGGGAATCCTTGCCCCGGAGGGAGCATATGCCCCGACGGGTCGAGCAGCCTCGACGACCCGAAAGAGGAGGGCCCCACCGAGACTCGTCACTGGAGGGCGGGGATGACTTCTCTCATCACCCCCGTCGTCTGAGCGGTCGAACCAGTTCCATAGAAGGCCCCCGTGGTGGCCGTCGGCCTCACGCGCGTGAAAGAGTCGCAGAATCCTATGTGCGGGTCCAGCCCCGTGCTGGGCGCGTGCCAGAGGAACCGGCGCCGGAAGCTGTGGAGGATCTCAGACTGAGGTTGGACGAGCTAAGGAGGAGGGTTGTTGGGGGAGAGTCATACGTGGCCGACCTCCATATCCCGAAGCCCTTCACTCGTGCCATAATGGAGGCTCCGTTGCCAAGGGGCTACAAACCTTGCAATGTGGATACTTACAAGGGCACTTCAGACC